CGAGTCTCGCCAAAGTCAAGCTTGCGATTTCCTCCAATTATAACCTGTTTCTCCTGGTCCGCTGCAGGTCGGCTATTTGTCGCTAACAAAGCAGACGCATTGCGGCCGGATCAGCCTTCCGTGTGCCAGTTCGGAGAAACTTTCCGAGCACCAAATTTTCAATGTTTCCTTCATTCATTCAGGCATTATTTTCCTGCTCGGCCAGCACAGCGCGCAGGGACCGAGCAGGGTCACATGTTTGTGGTGAGTCTCGCCGATCTGCACCGGTCAGGTATGTACACCCGTGACACGGTTAGCGGGGGCTTGGGTGGAAAGTCCGCCCAAGACAACGTTAGACAATGCAAACAACGCTCGGCTGGGCAGGCCGTTGCGGTCGGGCTCTGGACGTGCACTGCAGACAACTGCGACTGCGGTGCTGCGCCACGCCCTCCTCGTACCCAGGCGCCCGGCAGGAGCACGCCACACGGAGCGGTGAGGGGGGGGGGGGGGGGCGACGCGTGGAGGGGAGTGTGCCAGCACTGACACGGTGCCTAACGCAGGCGATGCCGTCGAGGATGTTAGCTTACAAGAACATTCAGAAGCGTGCTCCCAGGCGCCACCGTCACATTGGGTTGTGTGCGGAGCCGGCCCACCTATGGGCACTGACAAAAGCGCACCTGTTCGGCTGCCCTTGCGTGAGGCCGACAGAAATTTGTCGAAAAATTGACGTCGTGGAGGCGCTCCTAGCATTCCTCACGTGTTGCCACCGCCGATGGGGCAATCAATCGGCCACCGTTGGACAGCTACACGAGACGGGCCGGCCGATGGGGCCTCATACCATCCAATCTGCCTCATGCACCCAATTGACTGGGGGACCAGACACTTAAATCTTGGCTCACGGGCCCACTCAGTTATGAACTTCAGATCACGGCATAATGGCACATCAATCATGCCGGGGCATGGGCAGGGCTGGCTGCAAGCCCCTTGGCAGCAGCATCGATGATTAGCGCAAAATAGCATGCAAATAGCAACAGTGAATGATTGGGGCTATTACGTGTTATCAAACAATAGCGTAAGTTCAAGTCGTTGTAGTCAGCCTGTACTATTTGCATGATCAATTCTATATAAGCGTAGCGCCGTGGGCGCCCAATCAGAGAGCAAACTCAACGGTGCACGGCTCGGACCCTGGGCGCCCTGTCTGAGGCTCACGCGCACCCTGCCCAGGTGCAGATCGTGTTCTGTCACGAGAACAAGAGCTGGTGTGGCTTGCACCCCTCCGTGGCGTCCAACGTCGGTTACTGGGACGGTGACCACGCCTCATTAATTATGCAATACAGCCTTTGCATGCAGTTCTGGCAATGGCATGCAGGTGGCGCCACCAGTACGGCACAGTATCACTTGGCAAGACCAACAGACATGTTTGCCAGCTTCCCGGGTATGGCTACTCGATAGCCTGTGAGCATTTGTGCCGGCACTCGATGGCCACCTGCTTGACAGTTGTTTCCGCGTCCGAGCAGATGCCTAGATATATACTATTGTATAGGAATCGTACATAGTTTCCCCGCACGAGTTCCTACACTCCTTCGCGGTTCGGCAGGGGGCTACCCGCCAGCACGCGTCAGTGCCGGCGCCAGAGTGCGCGTCAGCGCGTGCCGCTCGCCGGCAGCGCACGCCCGGCGTCGGCGGCGGCGGCCCTACGGGCGGCGCGGTCGAGCCCGGGGCGCCGCCGGCGGAGGACTTTGTTATGACGGCAGCCGGCTAATTGTTTTGGCGTCGGCGGGCGGCGCGCGCCGGCGCTCGGGACCTCTCTCGGCTCGGGCAGTGGCCATTACCGGCCGGTGCATGAGTCGACACAATCGGCCCGGCGCGGCGCCGGCCGGGCCGCAGCACGCGCCAGAGTACCCGTCGCCTCTCATTACGCCGATCTGGCTGGTCATGCGGGCAGCCGGCCGGCAGTGGCCGTGCTGAAACAGCAGCGCGAGGCGTCGTGCGTTGTTACGGCAGGAGTGTTGGCCTCCGCGCGGGCGGGTGAGCGGGCAGGCTTGCCCTCTTGCTCGCAAGCTGGCAGGCAGGCGGTCTGGCAGGCTGGGAGGCAGGCAGACAGGCAGGCAGGTGTACGGGCAATGGCGGACTGGCAGGGGAGGACGCTCCGTGGGAGGTTCTCTGGCCTGAATTGGCCTGGCCTGCTCTGGATGTGTAGCCCGTCGCCTATGCGAGCTTCGTGGCCCGGAGCTCCATGGCGACTTTCACACCTCCTCTGCCGTCTCAAATCCGGCTCCGCCTCGCCTGTCGGCAGGACACGGTTAGTCCATTTCTCTCTGTCTGCGACGCGCTTCCTCGGCTACCGTCCCTCGCGCATTCTGAACTCATTATTTCCAGATAGACATCAGCCGAGTTTCATTAGTGAGGCTGACACGTCCCACTTAGGGCGAGACCGGTGTCCTTCGCAGGGCACGCCTGTCAGGGACGCGACGGACCTGTATGAAATACTGAACCGTCCGAGAAGAATAAACGGGCGCTAACGGCAGAGGTCAGGGAGCCACCCTACCGGGCTTTGTGCCGAGGCGTCGAGCGGCACCCGGTGGCAGCGCCGGACGCACAAAGCCAGCGAGACGGTGTCAATGTCGGCCAACTTCGCCCTGTCCAGGTGGCTGCCGGTCGCCGCTCACCCGGAGGGCAAACGCCGACGGGCAGACGTGTTACCTACGCCCATGACAAGGTGCCTTTTGTAACGAATGTGTTTACAACAGATAACCCTCAATCTTATTTCTTATCCATGCCGAAGATCCTCCCCTTCATGAATAGACCATCTCTCAGTCATTCTCGTTCACGCCTCTTTATTACTTGCAAAACTAGGGTAATTTTCGCTGTTTATGATCCACTCAACGAGAGAGCTACTCATGGTAAATTTCTCCTCGGCATAATCGTCGGCTATAATCTTCAGATTCACATTGATCGTAAATTGAGTCATCCTGAAGCAGCAATCGATTTACTGATCGAGCCGTGCAAATGCCTCAATGCCAAAATAATTGCACCCAGTCGAACAGTATAGACACCTGAAATGCATCTTCACCTCCCTGGGATCATGATAAGCGGGTCGAAATTGTGCACCCATGAAAGATGACAGCGTAATCACCGCGCTGATTAGATACGCCACGTAAGTTTAATTAATACTATTTCAGCACCTACTAAACCCATGCCATAACATAGTATTTCGCATTGTCTTATATTCATCTAGGTTATAAAAAGCAAGCCAAAATTAGTAGGCCTATTCCTTTTGCACTCATACCACCCATATGTGAATTAGAAAGAGACACAAGCCTCGTAAGACGTCGCGGCATTGTGGTTCCCGTAGCTAAGCTGGCACTGGTAGCTGGCCAGCTGGCAGTTGGCTGCCAGCTCACCGAGATTGGCTGCCCATTTGGAGTTGATTTACTGGAGCAGTGGATCAGGGTTTTTTCAATAAGCTTTCTTTAGCAAGAGCTCTGGCGCCAAGGTCATCGCCGCAAAGCACGTTGCGCATCGCGATAAAAAATCACCTTTCAAATATTTCCGACGGAAATGAGAGAAAAACTACGCAAAAGCGCTAGTTTGCTCGAGAGGTGTCTAGAAAAAAGGACCGAAAATTTCGGGTTAAAAAATGATGCACCCTTTAAGACGACTAGTAAAAAGAACTTCGACACCGCTGCCGGCAGTCATCACCCTGAAGTTGTCACTATACTACTCATGGCATCATTTAGATTCATTCGGTTAATACGAATCAGGGACCTGGCTCAGAAACGTTCCATATCTTGCTTTCATCGGTTTTTCATTTTAGAAATAACGAGCTTGGCTGGGCATATTGGTATAATAATGGGTCTTGACGAACACAGCCATGGAGATGCACAGCCATGTTGACCAAGAGAAGACTTAAAAGCAATAGTTCGGGAAAGAGTGTGACATATGTGCTAGTCGTCTGACGGCAGCCTTAGGAGTTCAAAGTTGAGCAAGAGGTGTTGCATTCATAACCACGCTGAACTTTGCCCAGTTCGAAAGCAATGTTGGCAGCCGTTTTATGCAAGTTTTTTTATTCTGAAGACACAATGTTTTTCTCGAATTTCACAGACACACAAATTGTAATTATTCGATATTCTTTTTCGTTCAGATTGATGTAGGACAGAGGACGATTTTTGCGATCATTGATGATGGTGCGTGGCTGCGTGACTTATTACGATGTGGCAGAGCTTTTGGATAGCGCTCATATCACGTCTATTTACTTGCGGCTCTTTCCAGGTACGTATTATGTAATTAACTATCTTTCCCTTGCATTGAATGTAGCGTATTATCTCGCCGCACTTGCAGGAAGCAAATTAATTTTGAATTGCGGAGTTTCGTCGAACTGACTCCATAAAGGAATGCGATTATCTGGATGGGTGGTACCCCATTTTGCACTATGTATTTAGTCAAGAAACGCAATGTTTTGGTCTCGGCCCACTGTTGGGGCATAAGCGAGTTTTTATACCTTGATGTTCTGCCTTTTGTTAGTAGTACATGTACACTATGTTATTACACAATGTCAGGCAAACGTTTGTCAGCGGATGTTTAGATGGATTACGTAATTAATAACAAGGTCCCTAAATAGGCTGTGTGCTAAGCATATTTGAGTAAAAATATTCTGTGAGGGAAAAGGTTGAACGCTCCCAAAACTATCCTATCAAAAGATATTTTTGGTTATCATACTGATAGTTTCTGTTAAGCTATGTCCTTTCAAAACCCCATGCGAATGTAAAGCATTTGGTTTCACAGCAACGCAAACCGTTGAATGTTGCGAGAACAAACAGCAGAACACGTCTATCTTATTAATGCACACAGTGTGCAGTGCGCACAGGGTGTTATAAAGCGATTGTGCATCAGGTACAACATTGACCCGCTCTGTCCGAAATTGACAATTGAAAGTGCGGTACAGATTTTGGCATGCGCCCATTTATAACAGAAGACCGACGTTCGGCGCTTTGCGGCAAAATAAATTAGGTAGACGGGGACTTGGGTTAGAGCAAGATGGAGTATGGAAAACGTGTTCTTTGTGTCAGTTTAAGGCAGATTTTAGTTATATTACGATATTCAATAACCATAGCACCGGCTAATTGGCGTTAATTTTATAGCGGATCACAAGAGCTTACCAATTTCCAGAAACCATAGGTGTCTTTGCATATTCGGTACCACACATCTACATTCCAAGCATGTATGATACACAAACAAATGTTTTACTTCTATTCTGCTTTATATTTCCTGTCGCAGTATCCGTGATTGACGTTAAGGTGCTGATTAAACGATGTAGTGATGAATACACGTCACAATCTGACGAGGATATCAGCAATGAGAGACGAAAGGACGAAGCTGGTATCAGTGAGGACGATCATTTTCCAGGGATTGTGAGGAGAAGACTGGACTTGGAACAGGAATTTGAAATGGATGAACCAGAATATCCTTTCCATCTAACACACTGCCAAAGGAAACTTATGATATCGTTGTGGATAAAAAACAGAGTCCGTATGATTGAAAACTCTACTGACGAAGATGAACAGCTAATTTACATCGATCATGGTTATGATGATGTTACCAGCAAGATCGTTAAGCTGTTGAGCCCCGTAACTATTCGATTTCAGCAGCAGCCAGTGCTACAAGCCTATCCGTTCAGAAACATACACGTTGTTAATGGTTTGCTTCACGAAGAGGTGGTCAACAAAGATGAAACGCCCAATTTTACGGGGTGTGATGACACCTCTTCAGCACATCCGACTTGTTCCTACGCTTACAAGAAAGGTAAACCCATACCTTACAGTCAGGGGTTCTGTTGTTATTGTACAGCATCGGGAAAACCACCCGCTCACATACTGGCAGAGGAGGCCCAAGCCAGTCGGTATCAACAAAACAATGGCTCGTCAACTGACAGGCCCACGTCGCCAACACCTGATTACAGTGGGGGAGACGAAATAATGACGCCAAACATAAAGCTTAAGCCACCAACAGCTAACCACGATGTCTTATCCAGCTTTGCGGATACCAATGACACCCCCGATATCGAAAACGAGCATGACCGGCAAGCAAGACAAGACAAAGGGCTTCGCAACCCAAATGGTGCCCCAGGTGCACCGCAAGGGGACACCAGCTTGTTTCCTCGGTCGAAGAACGCGGAGATTCCCGCTATGAGGCCGGCTAAAGCCCCCTCGCTAAGCCGCACGCCATCGAACCTGCTGAACCGCAAGAGGCGGCAGAGCAGCCTGTCGCTGCAGCCGCGTGGGGGGCAGGACTGCAGCTCCGACACGCCGGCCAGCGTCGACCCGGACAAGTACCTGTCGTCGGCTCACTGCCTGCGGCTTCACGACATCTGGTACAACGTCAACGCCGTGCAGATGCCGCGCTTGCGCCACTCGGTTCAGCTGCAGGTCTACGCGAAGAAGGAGCTGCCGGACGGATCGCAGCGCTGGAGCGACCTCAACGCCGGCAGGGTACTCACTCTCGGCACCGACTCCATGCACTACATGGAAAACAATCAGACCCTGGTGGCCACGTACAGTGGCAAGGTGTTGCGGCGCGAAAACCAGGTGATCTTGAACGTTACGGACAAGCTGCTGCTCATACCGCAGATGACGGGCAACAAGAAGATGAAGAGTGAGTACCCCCAGCTGCAGGGGCCCGGCGAATACCTGCTGGTGAGTCGCTCGCTCGTTGATATGTCCGGGAAGACATGCGACAAGATTGGCGCGACGTACAGCACCTTCGCCCTTCAGAAGGACCGGTGCGAAAAGCCACGCGGCTCCTGCCTGAGCAACCAGCCCATCCAGCTGTGGGAGAGGGACAGGCGGTCCGGGGGAGCGCTCCACTACCGCCTGGCTGACTTCGGCAGCCCTCATGGCGACGCTATCGAGGTCAACCGCGCCTCCGGTGAGTACCTGCTGCTGATGAAGCACACCAACCCGTACACCAGCTACGTGGATGTCGAGGTGGACGCCGACAGTATCGGCATTCTCCGCACCGGTCTGCACGCCCAGATCACCAACGTCTTCACCATGAGCGGCGAGGTGCTGACGCTGGTGACCGCGGTCGTCACCAACACTGGGCTGGTGTCGTCCCATTTCAGCGTGCAGATCGCCTCCTGCACGCATAAGGTCCCAGACAGCAAAAAGGTCGCCTCCAGCATCCCACCGCAGAACCAGGTGACGTTCAACATCACGCTCAGCCACGGCAGCGAGATCATCCGCGACCGGATCGTGTGCTCGGCCCTGGTGCGCAACAGCGAGCACAAGGTGGTCGCAGCGCGGAGGATCCACGCGTACCCGCACGACCGCTGCGTCTGCGTCTGGTTCTGCCTGTGCGCGTGCACAGCCGAGCGGTTCGCGTGCACTCCCATGTCGTTGTCTCACTACCGCAGCTCGGGCTTCCTGGGTGCCATCCCGTCGCTGAACAAGTCGCGGCTGCCGTACATCGCCGAGATCATGCTGGACGTGGAGCTAGTGCTCATCAGTCTCACCATCCTCGGCCTGCTGCTCGGCTGCCTGAAGGCCGTCATCGGCGTCGTCTTCCCCGACTCGATAGGCCTGTTCGGGCTGGCCATGTGCAACGACAAGCCGCGCAAGATTAACCACTACTACGAGCCGGAGCTGCGCCACTTCCCGGTCGAGTACGACCGGCACGGCTACCCGGTCCACCCGCTCACGAAGACGCCGAGCGTGCGCCGCATGGGCGGCACGCTGCAGTTCTGCCTCAACCTCGCCTGGTTCTTCTACATCCCACTGGCGTGCTGGTACTGGGTGCGCAAGAGCCGCGACTGCCTGCCGGAGCCGTGCGCGCGCGTGCTCTGCTGCTGCCCGCAGCTGGAGGGCTCGCCCCGCTCCTCGCTGGGCGCCCGGCAATCGCTGCTCTCAGACACGGGCAGCGTGCCGGCGGACATGACCGAGCACCGGGCGCAGGGCTACGGCGGCGTGGCTGAGCGGGACGTGGCGCTGGATCGGTACCGGCAGAGCCGCGACGACCTGCGCTCCACATCTAACGGCACGATGCTGTCGTCCTCGAGCCGGCCGCGGGTGGGAGCGTCGGCCAACTCGCTGTCGCGCGCCAGCCTGACGGGCACGTCGAGCCTCGGCGGCGCCACGCCGCGCCGCAGCAGCTCGGCCAGGTCGGTCACCAGGACATCGACGTCGGGTTCGGCGGGGGCGGGGTCGCCGGGTAGGAGTTCGGCGTCGCTGCCGACCTCCGGGAGCGCCAGGAGGCTGAGCCAGTCGCAGGCGTCATCCAAGAGCAAGTTGTGAACGGTCCAAATAACGATTTTTGACGATTGTACTCAGCAGCGTGCCGAAGGGCGAAGTTGCGTGAAGTGTAAAGGCGTGCGTTGCTGCCGGCTCTTGCGCTAAAAAGGTTGGTTCGAATTGCGACAGTGCAACCGGTGGGGTAGCTGTCACCTTCAGGATCCGATATCTGTGAACAGGTGCGACCAAAGGTGACGTCGCTCTGAGCGTGGACTAACCAAAAGAAGATGTATTGTACAGCGACAAGTGTGATGGATAATGGTGAAAGCGTGCATATGTCGTCACACCTTATAGGTTGAGGGTGCAATGCGACCCAAAATATACAGCTTATAACGCAACAATGGCAAACCTGACGTACTGTTCCGGACTCACTTGTCTCATTTTCGAGTGTGCCAATCGATTCAGCTGTCATTGTTCTGAAGTTCGTCTTGAAATGAATTGCTGGCGCCCGACAACTGGAAGGCCCCTCGATCTATGATTTACCGCAATGATAGCATTGCATGCTAATGCACAATTAAAGATATGGAGGGTGCACTCAATCACATCCAGGGCAGTCAGTTGTCGACCGACACGTGAGATGCCTTCGAAAGACATTCGAGCAAACAAACCAACAAGCGACCCTCAGGAACTCACGAAAGAAAAATGCGGTGCCTCCAACGTCTGCACGCGTTTCGCCTCACAGAAACCATGAACGCATTGCAAATGGATGCGTGCACGTACTGAAAATGAAGGCGATGCTTGCAATGTGCGCAATCACATGCTATCATATCCTATTCGTCTGCTAATGATATGATACGAGTGACTTTGTTTAATATCTTTCCACAAATTTCAGCGGCGGCATGAGACCATCACGTGTTGTGGGGCGATTGCAAGACGTTCTCATGTTTGTCTGACTGCCGGTCAGTGATGCATGAAGAACAGCCTTGTATCACGCTTATCCATGAGTTAAACGATCCTGTCAACATTATTGGTTCGCGTAAGGCTCTAGAAAAAGTGGAACCTGCGAGCATATCTGATGCAGCACTCGAAAACTGCACGTAATGAGCAAAAATTTCGCAAGAATGGCGCTACCTTTAGGGCCATTCTCTGGTGCAGCCTTGCTCCATTGTTGTAAATTCAAGGATAATTAATTTCCTGGACATGAGTTTCAGGCGTAAAAATGCCCTCTCCTGAGACTTGCATGCTACAGGCAGCCAATCGCCTATAAATAGTCTGCTGGCAGACGATGTGACCGTCGATAGAGGCCGGACGGCCGCCGGTCACGCCGCGTCCGGCCGGCGCGTGTGGCGGCCGCCGGCCCTCGGCGCTTCGCGCGGCGGCCGCCGCGCGCCGCGCGCCGATGATGAATATTGATACACGAGGCCACGAGGCGATAAAACACCGCCGATGAAGATATCCAGATAATCGGCGGATAATAACGGGTGGGTCGGCGCTATCTGTCGGGTCATCGGCGGGTCAACCGGCAGACGGCCGGCCGGCCGCCGCCGGCGCGGCCGGCGCGCGCGCCAGCTGCGACCTGTCTCGCGCGGCCGGCGGGACGCGCCGCCGCCGCGAGCGCACCGCTCCGCTTCCGGCCGTCAGCCACGGAGGCAGAACAGATCTTGCAGGCGGCCGGCCTCCGGCGCGCCGTTTCCTTCCATCTGCAGCGGCGTGTTATTCGGCGCGGCGCGGCGAGATCTGGCGGAGATTCGACACGACCGCTAGCGTCGTGTGACAGCGTCGGTCCGCGACCTCACGGCGGCCGCCACACAATCGGCCCCATCTGTGCCCCCCCCCCCCCCTTCCCCCCGACGCCTTCCGTCGCCGCAGCACCAACCAGCTCTCGGCGGCGGTAATTGTTGCAGAAACAGGCATGGAACGTGTGCACGTACACACACTGCAGACGCTTATGTGCTGTGGGGAGGGGAGGGGGCGAGAGATTGTCACGTTTTGAGGATGTTACGGTAGGTATTAAGATACAAGACGACTAGCACACACCAACGTCGCCGGCCGACACAATCGGACGCTGAGATTGAGCCAGAAGGATTCGGACGTCTGGACACCGAGGGCGTTGGAGCATCGTCCCAGGTCGATACTCTTCGATGCTCCCTTTTAAACCTCGGCCGCCCGGGGGTTGGTAGGGAGCTCCAATGAATGGGCCCTGTTACCAGAGATCGCCTCGGGTCAGCAGGTGCCACTTCAGCCGGATACCATATGCGGGCTCCGGGTGTCGGATCCAAAATGGCCGTCATCGCCGCTAGGTTCGGCGAATCCGTGCGTTTTCTAGGGCGTCTGAGAGATGTGCCCACTGCATAATGTATTCTGAAGCCGAAGAAGCCGCGACCAGTACCCCGGATGAATAATAAAACAGCAATGAACACACGATGGAGATTAATATGAAGCATGACATCCAGATTAAGGATCCGTGAATCGTGAAAACGAGTATGCGTCTGAACTTAACTACTTGTCACCAAGCCTACCATGGAATCAGGAACACAACTGTTGCAAAATCAGTTGGGGGAGGGCTGAACAGTGAATATGATCTAACCTTTCCCTCAAAATCGACTAAAAACGGGTTTCTCATCGGTGTGATCCAATCTCTTCTCAAAGTAAGGAGGGCTTGAGCCCCAACGAAATAGGAAAACTACACCCTTGCATGGAATCGTGGAACGCACGATACACAGTCTCTTACGCTAGTGGCTGTCCACCTGGCAAACAAAAAGCATACTTGATTTCGCCTGGGAATCCTGAAAACGATCAGCGCCCGATGCCGGGTCTATTCAAGCATGTATTTGTTTTAAAATGGCAATATCATTTCATTGATGCTTCTCCGTGTCGCATGCCGTGATGTACACACTCGTTAAGTGACACCGGAGGCCTTCATTACATTAAACTTCAGTTATGCCTGTGTGGCATCGTTGCATTCTACATTCTTGCATGTTACGGACGGCGAAGAACCCCGTGGGTATTATTTATGCCCGCATTCATTCCCGGAATAATCGTCATAACAGTCGTCCGCAAGGCGGCAGCCTTATACAGGTACGCTAAATATTAATAAACTATGCATGGGAGCATGCTGACCGCATGGGGAATGATCAAAGAGGAGTAGAGTAAGGAGATCTAGGGGCCTTTTGAGTCCCTCGAGACCTACGATTAAGGGCCGAACATGAGGGTCGAAGGGCCCGAAAGGTGGGCCGGAGGTCGCATTCAGGGGCCCCGGCCCGCAGGGCCGGGCACTCCAATGCCAGCCAGAAGGCTCTGCGCGCTGATCAGGGGCTCTGTGCGTCGATAAGGGCCTATACATCGGTCAGACATCACCAGTAACTCACAGTTACTCCGGTTCCGCGGTGGCATGGGCCTGAAGGCCCATTTTCCCAGCAGGGACGAAGCCGGAGCCAGTAACTTACATCGGTCGGGGCAGTATTCTCTGTCGCGGCCTCACAGCGCCTTCCGGGGGTCCTGTGTTGGCAAGGGGCCCGGAGTTGGCCAGAGGCAGTGTTCGAGGAGGCCCAAAGAGCCTGGAGGACCCACCGGATCCGACGATCAAGGGCCCGATTGAGGGTCTAAGGACACGAGAAGCTGGTCGGAGTCTTATTCAGGGGCCCCGCCTGCGGGTGCGGGCCCTCAAATGAATGACAGTCATAGGGCCTTTTGCGCCGATCTGGGACTCCAAAGTCGATATGGGCCTGTACGTCGGTCAGGCACCAGCAGTACTACACAGACGGTTCCGTGTCGGTATGGGCCGGAGGGCCCCCCAATCAGCTATAAAGTCGGGGCCAGCGATTTACATTGGTCGGGTCTATGTGTCTGTCAAAGGCCCCATAGTGCCTAACAGGGGGTCCTGTGTTTCCAAGGAGCCTCGAGCCTAATAAGGGCAGTGTTTGATAAGGTTCGAAGAGGGGCCCGGGTGGCCCACCGGAATCCACGGTCAAGGGCCCGGATGAAGGGCATAATGGCCCGAAGGACTGACTGTAGGTTACATAAAGAAGCACAGCCTGTCGTACCCGAAATTTAAATCAGAGTTCCTGTTGCACCGTTCGAGGACCCCATGAGACCATGCAGGTGTCAAAGTCGGCCAGAGACCAAGAACACCCAACAGTTGGCTTTCTGTCAGTCTGAACCCTTGGGCCCATTTCCCGGGTAGGAGCAAGGCCGGGACCACGACTCGCATTGATCTGGCTCCCTGAAACGGTGTTTGGGGCCCTTGTGTAGGTCAGAGGCCAACAGTCTGTAACAGGAGGTTATGTGTTGGCCAGTGACCTCTAGTCGGTGGCGGGCTTTGTTTGAGAAGGCCCGAAGAGGGCCGAAAGGCCTCTAAGGACCAAAGATCAAGGACCCGACTGGAAGGTTGAAGAGCCCGAAGGACCGGTTGTATGTCATATTAAGGATGTCCTGCCTCCCGCAAGGCCGTGGCCCAAATGTCAGTCACCATGCCTCTTGCATCGTTTGGGGAACCCTGGAGCAGTGTGAGCCTCTATTTCGGTCAGAGACCACCAATACTGAACAATCGGCTGTCAGTCTGAGACCTGGAGGTCCATTCCCCAAGTACGAGCAAGGCCGAGCCCGCGATTTGCATTAGCCGGGGTCAGTGAAACGATGAGCATGTCGTTCAGGGGCCCACGGTGTCTTACAGGGGTCCCGTATCCGCAAATGATCCGAGTCGGCCAGTAGCTGTGTTCGCTGGGGTTCCGAAGCAGGTCCCGAATGGCCCCTCCGGACCGAAGATCAACGCTCCGCTTGGATTCGGGCCCACCTCCACCCGTAGTGCCACGACCTGAACTGTCGGCCAGAGGGTTTATATATGGGCCCTCTTATTAAGGTTCTCTATCTCTCTGGTATAGGGCTTCTACACTGAGCCAAGCCGTCAGCTCCATGTCTGTCGGAGCCCTTAGGGTCATTTCCCAAGCAGGAACGAGGCCGGGGCCCGTGATTTGACATGTTCTGGGTCCCTTACACAATAAGGAGCTCCTGAGTCGGTCGTGGGCTACAGCGCCGAACAGGGGCCCTATGGTGGCAAGTGTTCC